TTAAAGGACAGAACAATGGAAAACATCCCAGGTGAGTCCTTTTTTGCTGATGTCACCGACATTTATGTCCAGTGTTATGTCTCAACATATTATTAATAGACAAAGACTTGTTCGAACAACTTTAATCTCACTGACACTGACATTTGTTCAAATGCAACTTTGAAAACCTAAGACATGTTGTTTTAGTAAAAAGTTGCTTTCTCCTAACAATCCTACCAAACAAGGTATAGTTGTTCAGTCTTTTTCTAATTGTGTTGCCAGGAACTTTAATATATAACATGCTAACTGAGGCCTGTAGAGTCTGAGATGGAGCTCTTGGGTTTTTTGCATTTTCTTTGAGGATTGCATGGTCAGACTTTCCTGGGAAGGTTGATGGTTGTCTTAACTACTTTCGTATCTGAATAAGAATGATGGATTTTGTATTATTATTGCTCCTGTCAGAATGTCACACCAATAATTGCTTCTTCTGATCATGCACTGAGCACCATTTTAGTGTATTAATTCATATTGTTACACTGTTAACTGTGTGGTATGTTTGTTGTCTATGATGTGTTCACAGGTGCAGCACCAAAGCCGTATGTCAAATTGCTTAAGGAAAAAGGTTTGCTGGAGTGTGAAGTTCCAGGTGCTTATCCTAAACCTACAGTAGAGTGGCAGGACAGTGATAACAAAACACTTTTTTCTAAGACGTTGCGAGACATAGAAGATAAAAATCGCTTTTACATCACCATCCAAACTAGTGTGACTAAGCCCGGCTGCTACCGCTGTGTAGCAACACAGATGGCCAAATGGCATCAGATTCCTTCAGAGACCTGTGTCCCTGATGGTGAGTGGAATTTTATTCATCACATAACTCTGCTTTATCTTTATTTTAATATTAATGGAATAATAGTTTATAAAATAAACATAATGTTGTGTTAAAATGGCTAGAAATCATCAATTTAGCTTATAATGTTATCATTATAGTAAAAAGCTTGGAAGGAAAAGCGTATGACCTGCTTTAAGTCTCTTACAGGCGTCTCACCTCTCATCTGAGAAGCTTCTGTAGTGCACCATAGTTATTAACTTTACGGAATATAATGCTTTAGAATGATACAGTCCCAATCAAAAGTTTAAGACCACTTGAAAAATGGCTAGAAATCATATTTTGCATGGCTGGAGCTTAACAAGGTGAAGTTCCATTGTGTGCTAGGGAGGTGCTCCTTCAGACTGTAGAGGAACAACAACGCATGCTGGCTAAACTAACTGACTTAGAAGCTCTGTCTCGGAGGAACAACCTTCGTATATTTGGAATACTGGAGGGCCAGGAATCTCATAACCCGACAAAATATGTGGAGAAGCTCTTCAAAACTGAACTAGCTTTGCAGGACCTGGAGTTGGGGATACAACGCTGCCATAGATCACTTGGTCAGAGGCCTCTCTCACATGCGCCTCCCAGATCCATGATTGTCTGCTTCCTCAAATATAGCATCAAAGAGCAAGTGTTGAAAAAAGCATGGATGAAGGGTATACGCATAGACTGATGTCGGATTTATGTGGATCACAACTACCCGGCAGAAATAATCCAGAAACGAAAGGAATACGCCCTGTTGCGGAAAATGTTAAAGGAAAAGGATATCCGATTTCAGACACAGGCTCCAGCGAGGCTCCGGGTCTTCTACAAAGATGGTCCTGTTACTTACAAGAGCACGTTATCAGCAAAGCTAGATCTTCAGAAGAAAGGATTGCTGAAAAGAGGAGAAGATGGTGGATCGGGGGAATCCCCCAGCCGCTATCCAGCTCAAGGGATCAACGGGGCTCAAGCAAGGCTAGAGGACAACTCGTGGAAGGTCAGCGGATGGGACGAAGGACAGAGAAGAGCTGTGAATGTTAAATGGGCGCGGAAAAACTCAAGAGATTTCATCATTCATCTCATCTGAAAGACTAAACTAGTTGAGAGGCTTCTTGTGAGTAAACACTCCGTTTATGGTTGTTAAATAGAGTCAAGGAAAAACGTTATGAATAATTAAAGACAGATGTTATTATTATTATTATAGTTCAACAAGTATATTAGGATAGTTATCCTGTTAATTTATCAGTAGACAGCTGTGGTTTGATAGAGTTTTAGCAAAGGACCACCGAACTGAGATGAGTGAAGCGCGCTGTCGCCACCTATTGGGAGTTGTGATGGAACCAGAACGGACACCATACTCCCACGAGGGGCCCTCCGCACGGAGAATCCCCCTCGCTGATTTAGAAGTTAGTTTTTCACTTCTTATTTGGAAGTCATATTTAGTTTGTAAGTCCAATTGTTTTTCAAGGCACAGGTCTTTTTTTTTCAGGACTGATCACTCGGGGCGGGGAGAGTTTATCTCATAGATGTTATCTTGGGAGAAAACCATGTCATTCCAGGAATATAGGATAATATCATTGAATGTTAATGGTCTTCAAAACCCCATTAAGAGGAAAAAGATAGCAACTAAAATGAGAAGGGAAAGGCATGATATAGTGTTTTGGCAGGAGACCCATTTAAACAATATGGAACATGAGCAGTTAAAACGCTTGGCGTTCAAACATGTATACTACTCATTATATAGACAAAAGTGTGCAAACGGGGGTTACAAAACTGATTGCTAATAAAATAAATTTTCAATTAATTCGACAAATAAGGGATAGAAAAGGATGATACGTTATGGTAGTGGGGCAAATTGATCATAAACTAGTGACTCTGTTAAATGTTTACAGGCTGCCAGGCAATGATCAAGAATTTATTAAGAAATTATTTAATCTGATCGCAGAACACACCAAGGGAACCCTTATCTGTGGGATTGGAATATACAACTACAGCCCCACTTAGATTCCAACAACAAAACTAAAAGGACGACTCGGGAGACAAAAACAGTTAAAAAGCTTCTTGTAGAAGGAAATATGATAGACGTTTGGAGGGAGCTACATCCCAAGGAAAGAGCCTATATGTTTTTCTCATACCCCCATAAAGTACACTCCAGGTTAGGTTATTTTTTTTTAATGTTTAACACTGATAGACATAGAATTCTCAGATGTAACCTAGGAGTAAAAGATGTATCAGACCATGCAGGTGTTTACTTGTCTATACATTTGGAGACTGAAATAAAGCAGACTAGCTGGAAGCTGAATACGAGCTTGTTAAATGATACCAAGTGTATACAATTCATAAGAAATTAGTATAAAAACTACTGTGAACTAAATGATAATCAAGAGGTGTCCCCAAGTGTTACATGGGATGCATCCAAAGCAGTAATGAGAGGAAAATTGATCCTGTGGTCCTCGTACAAAAAGAAAGAGAAACAAATGCAAATTAATGAGTTACTACTTACATTAAAGAATTTAGAGACTAAACACGCCACTGTTAAAGACTCTCAAACATTGGAAGAGATACATTTAACAAAATGGAAATTAAATGATATATACGATAGACAAGAAGAACTGAAAGCTAGATTTGTTAAGCAAAAGTATTATGATTGCGGTCCTAGGGCAAAGAAACTATTGGCCTGGAGAATTAAAAAACAGCAAGAAGAAAGAGAATTTACAGTTTAAAAGATGAAGAGACTCAAAAAATGTGTTACACTGCTAAAGAAATACAAAACTCATTTGAAAACTATTATAAAAAATTGTATTCAGAGACACAAGGGGCTGACCCTCTAAACATTCAGAAATTTTTGCATTCTCTGGATTTACCTAATATTGGACGGGAACAAAACAAAAGACTAATGCAACAAATTACTAAACAAGAACTGGATAAAGCCATTGCAAAAACAAATAAGATGCTGGGTATGGACGGATTTACATCAGAATATTATAAAACCTTTAGAGAGTTATTATCACCGCTATTATTAAAATGTTTTATCTATGTGTTGGAGGGAGGGGAGTCACCAACATCTTGGAGACAGGCAATTATTTCAGTAATTCCAAAGGTGGGCAAGGACAAAAGGGAATGCAGTTCATATCGACCAATTTCAATTCTGAATATGGATTATAGATTATTCACCTCAATAATAGCAGAAAGGCTTAAAAATACTATACCAGAAATTATTGATGAAGATCAGACAGGATTTCTCAAAAACAGACAGATACAGGACAGTATAAGACGTGCCTTACATTTAATGGATTATATGAATAAATCCCAAAGGGCATCAATTACATTAAGCCTTGATGCAGAAAAGGCGTTTGACTCCGTCCGGTGGGATTACTTATTTTTGGTTATGGAGCAGTTTGGTTTCGGAGACCTTTTTATTCAACTGATTAAAAATTTATATTATTTACCTTCAGCAAGAATAAAAATAAATGGGAGCTTAACTGGAGTAGTGGACTTGCAGAGAGGATGTTGGCAGGGATGTCCGCTTAGCCCAGCCTTGTTTGCTTTATTTATTGAACCGCTGGCGCAAGCTATTAGGGAGGATGAACAAATTAAAAGGATATGGATACGGAATATAAAACTGGTTTATATGCAGATGATATTTTGTTGACCCTCACAGACCCAGAAAGAAGCTTACCTAAGGTATGGTCAAAGATGGAAATGTTTGGAGAACTTTCCGGATATAAAATAAACATTCAAAAAACACAGGTGGTCACATACAATTATGTACCCACAACAAAGATCAAAACTATGTCTAAATTCAATTGGAATAATAAAATAATAAAATATTTAGGTATTAAGATTCCCAAAACACTGACAGAAATCTATGAAATAAACTACTCACCAATTACAAGGGAATTGAAAGAAAACATTCAAAGGTGGAGCCTACTGCCACTTTATCTGTATAATAGGATTGACCTGATCAAAATGAATATACTTCCGTTACTGCTTTTCCTTTTTCAATCTATACCGGTACACATACCAGCCAAACAATTTGCGTTATGGAACAGAATGATTTTGGGATTTATATAGAAAGGCCGCAAACCAAGAGTTAGATATATAACATTGCAACTACCTAAGGAATGGGGTGGACTTTCCCTCCCAAACTTAGAAAGCTATTTTAAAGCAGCACAATTAAGATACTTAATTTATTGGTGTGATCCGTCGTACAAAGCAAAATGGAAATATTTAGATGTGACACAAATAAAATTACCACTACAGACAATACTAGGAGATAAAAATAAATAAATAAATAAATAAATGAATAAAAATATTTGGAACAGAAAAATAATTTAAACGAGTGGAATAAAATTTCTTTAAAGATATGGTTTGATGAATGCGGAAGTCTTAAATCAGGAGCTGGAATCAAACAAATCAGATGGGTCACATATGATAAGGAATTTATCCCTGCACAGATAGATAGACGTTATACAACTTGGTTAACAAGGGGGATCGGACCATTTTGCTCATTGTTAGGAAAAGAAGGCTTACAAAGTTTTGAAAGATTAAGAGACACCTATGGTTTGGAAAACCAAGATTTTTTTCAGATATCTCCAAGTCAGGTCCTATTTCAATAGTAATATAAAAACTACAGAAGAACATAGTGAAGGCCTAGTCCCCGTTATAAAAGAATCTTATAAACATCAGATTAAAAATAAATTGATTGCTAAACTTTATTGGAACTTACAATCACTTAAGGATCAATCAACCAATTAGGATTAGGGATTAGGATTTCCCTAATCCAATTAGGATGTACCAATTAAGTAATTGGAGACGGAGGCCAAAATCAACATATCAGAGGACAGGTGGTTAAATATATGCAGGACACAGATGGAAACTACTAGCTCGGGTTATTGGAGGGAATTCACGTGGAAAAATTTTATCAGATTTTTTATAACACCCAAAATAAAATACAAACAAAAAGGTCAACTGACAGATGGACACTGCTGGAGAAACTGTGGGGAAAACATGGCAGATCATTTCCATATATTTTGGAAATGCCCAGTAATCCTGTCATACTGGAGTGAAGTGGTCGAATCAATTTACTTGGTGACTGGTGTCAAATTAAATTTGGATTTTTGTACTGTGTACTTGGGCGATATCCCATCAGCAGCCTCCTTAAAGGACAAATACTTGATAAACATCCTGTTGGGAGCTGGCAAAAAAGCGCTTACCAGGAGGTTTTTGTTTTGTTTTTGAAGCCCTTCAGTCTCGGATGCCATCTGACGGTTTGAGCTGCAGTCAGCACCAGTAACGACCTTAATTTGGGTCGAGGATCGCCCAGTGTCTTAACGGACAGCCAGCTGGATGCTCCGGCTCAGTGCTGGTGAAATTTTGGGGGGTCTTCCACTTGACTTCTTTGTTCCAAAACCCTCAGGATCACACCACGTTCAAAAAGGGAACGTTTTTTTGCCTTTGCCATCAGAAAGTCATGACAGTATGACTACTTGACAGACACTGACAATGAATCCAAATTTTTGCACAAATTTGGCCTTTTAAAGGCATGTGACCTAAACTTTTGATCAGCTGTAAAACAGCCTGTTTGAGTTTAAACATTGTTTTCAATAAATTGCATGCTCAAAAAAATGTTTTATCTCACTCCCACTTCTTTCTGTTGCATGTTGAAGTTCTCCTTGGAACGTTGTTAAGATCCAACCATGCAAAATAGGATTCTTTGATATTTTTTCAGATGTTTGATATTTTATCAGTAGTAGACAGCTGTCACGATTCTGATAAGAACAAGTGGAAGAGGATTACTAGAGTGAAAAATGCGCATGACAAGTTTTATTTTAACCACTAAATAGTTCTTTTATGAAAGAAAAGTAAGTATATGCTCATAGAGTGGAGGGTATAAAATATAAAAACAAATTATCAAAAATGACATTTTTGTCTTCTTTTGTCTGAGATTTAAAAGTTCATTTGTAACTTAAAACTATGCATACAGATCCATACCCTTCGGTCAATGAAAGAAAAACAATGGTCACAGAAATAACTTTAATCTTACAAAAGTAATAATAAATACACATTCTATAAATCCTAACCAATGAAAGTGAGACATTGCTTTTCAACCATGCTTCAACAGAATTATTTAAAAAATTTATGCATGAAACAGGCCTGGACAAAAATGATAGTACCCACAACTTAATATTTTGTTGCACAACCTTTTGAGGCAATCAAACGATTCCTGTAACTGTCAATGAGACGTCTGTACCTCTCAGCAGATATTTTGGCCCACTCTTCATGAGCAAACTGCTCTAGTTTTTTCCGGTTTGAAGGTTGGCTTTTCCAGACTGCATGTTACTGCTCCTTCCAATAATGCTCAATAGCTCAATAGGATTGAGGTCAGGGCTCATAGAAGGTCACTTTGAAATACTCCAATGTTTTCCTCTTGGTCATTCTTAGGTGTGGGTTTTTTGTTTTTTTTTACCTGTGTGTTTTGGGTCGTTGTCCTGTTGTAAGACCTGTGACTGAGATCAAGCTTTCTGACACTGACCAGCACATTTCTCTCCTCGATAGTTTTGAGATTTCATTGTACCCTGCACAGATGCAGCAAAGCAGCCCCCAGTTCGGACAATGTTCTTTTCTTGATATGCTTCATTTTTCCATCTGTGAACATGGAGCCGATGTGCCTTGGCAAAAAGTTACATTTTTGTCTCATCTGTCCACAGGACATTCTCCCAGAATCTTTGTGGCATGTCAACATGTTGTTTGGCATATTCCAGTCTGGCTTTTTTATGATTTGTTTTCAACAATGGTGTCCTCCTCTGTCGTCTTCCATGTAGCCCACTTTGGCTCAAACAACGACGCATGGTGCGATCTGACACTGATGTTCCTTGAGCATGAAGTTCAGCTTGGATCTCTTTAGAAGTCTTTCTGGGCTCTTTTGTTACCATTTGGATTATCCGTCTGTTCGATCTGTCATCAATTTTTCTCCTGTGGCCACGTCCAGAGAGGTTGGCTACAGTCCCATGGATCTTAAATTTCTGAATGACATGTGCAACTGTAGTCACAGGAATATCTAGATGCTTGGAGATGGTCTTACAGCCTTTACCTTTGACATGCTTGTCTATGATTTTATTTCCAATCTCCTGAGACAACTCTTTCCTTTGCTTCCTCTGGTCCATGTTGAGTGTGGTACACACTAGGGTACCATCATTTTTTTTCCAGGCCTGTTTCATGCGGGTTTTTTATTTTTTTTATTTTAATAATTCAGTTGAAGCATGGTTGTCTGACTTTCATTAGTTAATATTCATAGAATTTTAATTTCTGTGACCATTGTGAGTTTTTCTTTCATTGACCGAAGGGTACCAACAATTTTGTCCACGTCTGTATTTAAAGTTTGATTCTCACCATTCACTGGAGCACAAACTGTGTGTAGACGCTACAACAGAGCGAAAACCATCCCCACAGACACAGCGGCCAGGGAAGCAGCAAAACATCACGTCAAGACGGCCCTGAGTAAATGTGGTTATCCAAGCTGGACATTTGTCAAGTTTCAGTCATTGTCCAAATGTACTGTTTATAAGGCTGGGAAAACCTTCAGTTAGCTGAGAGTGACGAAGTCACCTGCATGAGTGACGAAATGTTTCTCCCACTGAAAATGCTGTATCCAGATGAACAGAATCAACCTCTTTGGGATCCTGATAATGTGACATTCACATTTTGCAAGTATCTGCAAATTCATCTGCCTCATGCTTACATAAAGTTACTGAGAACCAAGACTGATTTAAATATGATTGTATGTTGACTCGAGCCCAGCTGCCAGAGCCTAAACTTTAACACAAAAACTGTCATGAGGAGTCAGGCGTGTAATATTGTCCCCTCCATTTCTGTCTACGCCTGTTTCTGTGTGGAGACAAATTTGCAAAAATATTATCTGAAGTTTTCTTCAGCTTGTTTTTGCAAATTTCCTATCCCAGTAGTGTTGAATGATTACTTTCTTCCAGGAATAAAGAAGAAAAGCAATGCGTTAATTTTTTTTTCTGAATAATGATCCCACCACTGAACACAACAGTATTCTCATTTTATATCATATGATGGACACAATTTTTTTTTTTTTTTTTTTTTTTTTTGTGGCTTTAGCAATAACTTCTCTTTACTAGACCAAAGACCAGCAGAAATTATTAAGAAGAGGTGTTATATGGGGATCATAAAGGTGTTGGTTTTTTGGGGGTTTTTTTTCGGCATACATTAAAAAAATGACCCTAACAGTCTCCGGTGCAGAGAGTCATTTGTTGACAGTGCAGCAGGCAGTCATTATGCTGACAGATTCATATTCCTTGTTTTCTGCAATCATCGAGGTAACCTCAATAACAGACAGACTAACACATGGAGTCTGTGAGCAGCAGCACAGATTCAAACAGCCTTCACACAAGACAAAACTCCAACATCACCTTTACTGCTGAGAGAAGAACCAGAGCCAGCCTGTGAGCTGTGGAGACGAGCAGGAGGAATCAGGAAGTTGGATCCATGCTGACATCACTGAGCTCGCTGTTTAAACCTGCTGTCTGTTCCTAACATGCAGTCACAGTCTGAGTTACACAAATGTTTTCTCTTCTGTTCCAGAACCATGGAAGATTGTAGCTGGTGTTCTTGCTGTTGTTCTTGCTGTTGTAGTAGTTGGGATTCTTGTCTGGTGTTACTTCAAGAATAAAAAAAGTAAGTTTAATGTATTCATGAACATTCTCATATTTTTGTGTGACTGTCCTTTTTACAATCTTGCTTATTTCACTTTATTTTTGAATATATTAATGAAACAAACTGAAATGAACTAACGCTTATTGTGAGGAAAGAGGAGGAACACACTGTAGAGGCTGATGAAGATGGTTAAACAGCAAACATCACGATTTATTCATAAAGACAGTTTAGTGTTTTGTCTGTAATCATAATAAAATTGGGTGAATCTGCCCGCTGTAGTTATGTTGCCATATAGGCAAGTATAATTCAAACACACTCATGTGTCATCGTGCACGCCACTACTCAAACACACAGCACTGCATTTCTGCTCAGTTATGACTTTTTAACACAGTTTGTTTTCCAATCTGCAGAAACAAACAAGGAGTCCTCTGAACCCTCAGCCCAGGAACTGAAACTCAATGCTGATCAAAGTGTGTGAAGTACGGTGTGTGTGTTGCTTATGTTTGTTTTATGAGAACCAAATTAAGTTTTGGAGCACAGCAGCTTGGACATGTTGGATTATGTTTGATATTTTCAGCAGTTTAAAAGTTCAGAACAGCTTTTAATTCTGTGGTTTAGCACATTGTTAAAAGTCAGGATGGAGGGATGTAGTTTCTGCTGCATTTGTGCAAAAGAAATATTTCCTGTTCAGTCACCACAGCCATTTTTCTAATACTTTGATCATCATCACTTCACATATATCTGTGTAAAAAATAAAAGTATAAATGTTTATCTCAAAGTCCTCAGTACTTGATAAAAAATACTTTCAAATACCGTCTAACACCATCTTTTCAACACTGGGCATTTGGGATTTTTTTTCTGTTTGAATGAAAACAGATGCAGCACATCAATGTTTTTCTTTATTCCACATAATCGTGTTTTTTGTTTGTTTGTTTTCTGTATGAACTGTCATCCTGTCACCTGAAATATGTTTAAAATATTAAATTACTGTTGTATTTATTCCATGAGAGGTCTGAGGTCATTGTCCTGTGTTTTCCTCTTCTGCAGCAGTTTAATAGGACGGAGCAGAGAAATGGCTCCACCTGCTCTTGGTGCATAACATGTTACTAATAAAGAAACTACTTTTAGCTGCTCCGTTTACACAGCAGGTAGCGCCACATGTTTGATTTGCCCACACAATTAATACTCTGGATGGATTTGTGTTTCCAGCTGCACTCATATTTCAGTAAATATTTAAATAACATTTGAAAATTTGTCTGATAACTGCAGGTTTGTCAAACAACTGTCTCAAGTTAATTCTTTCCTTTAGAAGGCTCCAAACAAGGAAAATAAGTTTTCTTTGTTTTCTAACCCTAAACATACATTAACTTAATGTAATTAACTATAACCCTGAGCTGTTCTGCTGTAAATAAATGTGAATATTTTGCAGTCTGAAAAGAAAGTGCCTTTTTAAATACGCTTTTGTATTTTATCTTTTTATTTTTGCTAAAGAAACTGGCAGGATACACACACTGCAGATGAAATGTTGTTGATGTTTGATATTGAAAATTATATTCATGCTTTTAATTATGTCCTCATACATTATATCATTTTTCACACAGCTCAAGATTCTCGGAATAAAATATCAAAAAGTAAACTATTGTGACTGTTTTCTGTGTGTGTTTTCAAACTTTCGTGTAACCAACTTGGGAAGACTCGAGGAGAGAGGCAGGTTATACTTCTCTGAAAGCATCTAAGATTTTACCAGAATGATGGGCAGTAGCGGTTTTTGATACGGGCGAAACGGGCGGTTGCCCGGGGCGGCATCGCGGGCATCGACAAAACAAAAACAAAAAAAAATGCTCGTACTCGTGCTGCCCTGACGTCATGCCAGCGCATATTGGGAATGGCATAGGCACCGATCGGCTTTCTATCGCCCATTTGCTGGGAGTAAGAGCGCCCTTCGTTTGTGAGGCAGGGGGGTGCAGCATCTAATAACCAACTCGCAAAATAAAACAAAATAAAAACAAACCAACAAACACGAAAACACCAGACATTATAATACAGACTTATAATTTGCACCGATGTTTTTTCGAAATTCTATACACGAAAAGTGAGCGCGAGAG